ATTGTTATGGTTTTGGATTTATTCATTGACCTGTGAATAAGTATTGAAAGTCATTATAATTTGTTTTTTAGTATTTTTAGATTTAGTGGTAAGATTAGATGGTATTATATTGCAACGAGTAGCAATTAAATTAAATATATTTTAACTAACGGGTATTTATATAACGGGTAATACAAAAAATATATTTTTGTTGTCATCGGTAAAAAAGTTCAGTCGACCAACTTAAGTATAAGGGGTTATTAAAAATTCAGAAGTGACTTCAAAACTATACCCAATTGACCCTCGACTACTTGACCGGGTGCTTGTTGACAACGACTACCACGGTTGAACCTTTTACGCTCACTTACCCTCTGAATCTCTAACGCACACATACTCACATTGAATACAACGCTCTGACCTATTTTAATTACGTTTGTATATTTATTTATGTCTTCATATAGTTTGATCAGCGGCTTGTGTTTACATAGAGCGCGAGACTGTGATATGTGTTTTCTCATATCAAACGCATTATTATGTAGTGCGGGGCTGTCGTTTTTTTCTATTGATCTGTTGAATAAGAAGATTTACATTCATTCAGTTTTTTTTTTTATTATAAAAAAACGTGTCTTAGAAATTGTTTTATCTAAACTGCTTTATCGGTTATAAGAGGAGAAGGAGGGTTTCTAACAGATATAAAGTTACATACGAATCCTATCGCACGGACGTCATCGACTTCTTAGCCGGCAGGGTCTAAGTTCCCGCGATTCATTTGGGAGGAATCGGCTTTAGACTATACAAAATATAATTTCGAGGTCAAACAGTTGGCAAAAATCAATAGCGCCGCCGTCGGCAAGCGGCAAAAGCGTTTTCCAAAACCTGTAGAGTTAACTTCTCTTATTGGAATAACGAGAAGTATACTTCTCGTCCGTTAGAGTTCAACTGACGTCTTTCGCCCAACGGTATTAGTCCTGTGCTCTTTATCTTCAAAAGTTTTGACTTGAGTAAAGTGGCATAAGCCCGGTTCAATACCGGCTTCTGTATCTGTAAGGTTTTATGCAAACATGGTGAAGGGTTTTTCATTGCCTTCGTGCCCTACAAATTCGTATTGTTGCCGTTTGAATAAACGAGTACTTCGCTAACGATTTGTTTTGATACTTACAAAATCTGGTTACGCGACATAAATATATACATATATTACATATATGCGTTTACACGTTTTTAAAGTAAATATAGTCGTTGTGTAAAGCGTGACCCAATTAAGCAACAGACAGACAAGAAACCGCTGAGAATGACAAATCGAAGCGAATCGCAACCGCTTGGAGTGCGACTGGTCGCGTACAGGGGTCCAAAAATGTATCATAGTACTCAATATAAATATTTAATATAAATATAATTAAGATCATGCAATTTTTGGTTAAATGTTAAACGTTGTATATAGCTAAGTTGTTTTTAAAACAACTTAGTAATCAAAACTTAAAACTTTGTAATCAAAAATATTTTGTAATTTATTAAATCTGTGTAGTTTAGCAGAGCAACTTTTGTTAAAAACTGTCGTTATAATTATATAATCAGAATGATAAGATTCGATGACCGATTTTGGTTGTTAGTTGTTAGCTGAGTAGAAAAGTTTGATCGGTTGTATACATATAGTTTTAAACAATAGCAGTTGTCGCTGTACAAATTCAATGGAGATTTCGGAAGTGTTTACAACGTCAGCTCACACTTATGTAAATTGTTTTTAAAAATGTTTTTGCAAAATAAGTAATTATGTTGTCATTTTTGAAATTAAACTATTTTGGTTATGAAATTATTCCCCGTTAAGAGGTCAGTTTTTTAAAATTAAATAATTTTTTAATCTGCTTAAATGAATTGCTTTCATGAGAGTTGGTATAGAAATTGACTTTATTAATATTAAACGACGTTAAAGTTCGGAACGCATTGTTACCCGCGGTTCGCGTACAATGGTTGTGCACTTGATATATTGTCTTATCTCGTTTGTAAAAGGGTTATAATTGTGTAAGCTTTGACCACGAGGTCTGTGAGTCTGTGTACTCCGTTTAATGATTAGATGAGCTGCTGGGTTTTCGTTTGAAAAGTAAAATTATTCAGGGTCGCTCGCCTAATCAAAACTTATAGTTGGAAGAAACATGACGGTTCGGGTCAAATATATGCGCAGTTAAATTATATTACTCGTTTCCCTGGCGTTATTTTTTTTCCAACCCCCCGGGGCCATCGTATGGAACATTAATATAATATTTATATTTTTTACTGGGCTCAAGCGGGCTTTTTCCAGTACACGGTAGTTATTATTGTACATAATGACGAGAGAATATTTTATTTTTTAAAATATGAAAGCAAAAATTGCAATCGTCGGAGTAATAACAACAACAGCAACTGTATAGGCGAAGGACAAGAGGTTGTCGATTCAACAAATCCATTAAAAACCTTCGTTGAAAAGCTTCTACCGAATTTCTAGCAAACCTTATTTCCCATCCTCCCCACTACACCCATGCCCTTCCACTTGCATTTTTTCTTTTTTTGTTCCACTCTTGAACACTCGGTCGTACACTTACACATCACACAAATACCTAGATTTCTAGCAGCTCTAATGTATTTGTATACTATACAGAGCGGTTGCTAAAACTCGCTGGATGTATTAAAATTATTCGCCGTCGCGTTGACGACCATATACATACGTTGAACACATTCTGTATAGTCCAGGTTTTATACTAAAACATTGATAGTATAACGTACCCCCGCAGAAAATATCTTATAGATTTTCATTGATCATTTTGTAAGTTTTTATATTTTATTGTGTGTAAATTTATATGTGACACTTTTGAAAATATTGGCTGGTCAATGACCAGTTTTGAATAGTAACTCTTAAAGTTATTAGAGTTTAATATTTAGGACAGGAGGTAGAATGCGGTTGGTTAATGCTCGTAGGTAAAAACAATAAAATTAAATGACTTCAAAAGTAAATATTTAAAACTCGTTATCGTCCATTCAACATTTTCAGCAAATTATTCTTATTTAAAAAAATGTATTAAGTATGTGCGAGCCCAAAGTTTTAAAAAGTTAATAGCACTATATGGAAAATACTAAAAAGATGTAAAAAAATATTTGGTAATTTTATAATATTCTACAATAACATAAGTAACAATGTTTTCAAAAAGAAAAATTACAACATTGTAATTATTTTCCGAGAAAATTAAACTCGTACGAAAAATGGTCCATCCAGTATAATTTAAACGTTAGATTTAAAGTTCGCCAAGCTCATAAAAAGTCCAAGTTTATATGTTGTTTGTTGCTTAAGTATTTTTAATTTTGTAAGAAGTTTTGGGTGATTTAGAGGAAACTTAGACTTTAGGCTTCCCTTCGATTGCGCTATTGCGATAAGAATTATAATTGGAATGACTCTTAAGATGGCTTTATACACAGCTTACAACTTTGAACCGCACAACCTGGAATCTTCAACATAAGGTTCTACCGATACAAATCCCTTACAACAAAATTTTCTAGGAACGAAACGGCATTATTTATGAATAATGTACACTGAGATGTACTGAGAGATCCCAAGTTATATGTATATGCGATGGTTGATGTGATGGTGTTTTTGAGTGGTTACGCGAGAACCGAGTTGTATGCGGGAAAACGAACGTTTTTGGATTTAAATGTTTCCGCTACTATAGTGGATGTGTTCACTTTTGGTGGGAAAATACTGAAAAAAGAAGTATTCGCACTTAGCAATAACAATATGGTATATATTACATTATATAAGTAGAATGATACGAACGAATGTATTTTATGTATACGTTTTGAAGGGCTCTTGATTTGCGCTCAGGTGCTTCTAAATCGAAAAAGCACTTATTGTACTATGTTATACGTATTGCGTATATAGTTTATTATTTTGTGAGAGAAACAGGGAGAGAGAGAGAGAGAGAGAAAATATCACTATGGCAAAAACACACTATATATGCCATTCATCAACAACAGTGTATAATATTATAAATTGTATGCGAACCAAAAGTGGTGCTTAAACAAGCTTTGGGAGGGATGCCGATCCGAATAATGACGTTCATAAAATATATATATCGTAATCGCCGAGATTACGTTAGGCTGGTTTAGCTGTTCAAATGGTATACATTTTTTTTTTTAAGTTAAATTTTACTGCCAAATGTATAACAATATATTATGGAACGTAATAGGTACTATTGTTAATCCTATTCATACTTTATTTTTAAGTTGTGTTACGATTAAAATTATACCAGTATAATATTCTCTACTTCGTTAAATTTATTAACTAATTAGTATCGCAACATATTAATTACTCGACTTAAATGTTTGTTTTTGGTAAAAAAAAATCCTCTACTTTATCATTTTGTTTTAAAATTATCTTAACTACTTTATAATATTAATCAAAACAAGGTAATTATAGAATTAATTTCAACATTATTTAGTCAAAATAATTATTTTCAAGAATATCTTACGAAGGTAAATTTTGTTAGTTTGGTAGAAACTTGTTTTCTTTACCTTAATTAGTTCTAAATAAAAATAACGATTTTCTAAAAATATGGAAAAATTGGTAAGTAGCATTACATAATAAATACCAACCCTATAATTAGTATTCAAACATTTAAGGGAAAGGATATTGTTTCTAGGCAAAATAATTATTCTCTTCCCAACTTTTCTCCTACGTTTATTTTCGTTACCGTTCTTAATATACTGATTATTTTCCTGTCTACCGCCCAACATAGCCCGTCTCACCAGACTTCTTCATAAATCAATTCTAATTTTAATAATACAAATACGCATACTTTTTTTAACACCTTGACGTTTTAAATAAATATCTATAATTCTAAACATTTTAACTACTTTGAGAATCATCGTGTAGTGTGTGTGTATATCATTTTATGACGATGTATCTTATTTATTATTATGTATCTTTATTAATGTATATGTTATTGTGAACAATGATGTCAAAATATTAGTTAATTTTCTTTAACGAGCACGTTATTCAGTATTGGACGACCTGGAGTGGACGCACAGGTCAGACACGAATTGGAAGCCGCCGTCGTTCAAGTGGAGTTCTTGATGAACGAAGGCGCTTTGATCACTGTAACAGCTGATGATAGTTTACACCTGTGGAATTTCAGACAGAAACGAGCCGACGTCGTCCACAGTCTAAAATTTCAAAGAGAAAGGTAAGCAATACACACAAACATTTATGCGATATTTGTTTGACTTCACTACACTGTAAAATATTCGATGACCTAAATTTATCACACAATACAAAATCATTTATTATACGTCGATGGCGGCAGATTTGCCGGCATAATAAATGCGGCATCTCATTTGGAAATGCGTTTTTGTTGCCTCGGTGTTTCATCAATTTTATTGAACCCAACTCGAATGCGAACCCAAAATAAAGAACAACAATAAAGGGTAATGGTTGTGTAATAATCCTAAATTATAATTGCAATCTCGTGGCACAGTTTAATTTGGCGAATCCCGTTACAATTTAGTAAATGCTTGGGCGGTACTAGAAATAAAAAATACTGTAACAAGTACGGTTATTTCTTTTTTTATTATTATTATTTTTAAATATTTGCATATAAACGAAGGACGAAACAATTATTTTTTAATATCTGCGTTATTCAAATTTCTAACTGTTCTGTTAGTCTTAAAAACCTTCTCCAGTAGATTGCCTCATGACCAGGGTTCAGCATTTACTAAAACATTTACTTATTTTTTTTGGCTTGACATTAAATCTAGCAGAGGTCTATGAAAATGTATATCGTGGTAAAACGATTTTAAATTAAATTACATGTGAAAGTTTTCCCTTTTATCTTTTTTTTAAGATTTCAACATGGTTTTAAACGGTGTTCATAAAATTTACCCTCAACACGATTACTATTCTGCTGGTTATCCAAAAATAAAATATAGGTCTTAAAGTTATTTTTGAAAACCCTTACCGGATTATAGATCCAATTATATAACAATATTTCTTACTTATTTATAGTTACTGTCAGTTTTGAAACTAATTTCCTTGGGCTTAAATGATTAATTTTGTTTAGGTTATCCACTAATAGAGCTAATCGTTGTTTGTTTTCAATACAGGATCACTGTGGTGCACCTACCGCTCCGGAGCAAGTGGCTGTACGTGGGCTCGGAAAGAGGAAACGTGCATTTCGTCAACGTCGAATTGTTTACCCTCTCTGGTTACATAATAAATTGGAACAAAGCCATTGAAGTGTAAGTAGTAGTACACGTTTAACAGTAGTAGGGTAACGAAGCTGTATTGTCTTCAACGAGCCGAGTCGAATGCGTATATATATATATATATATAATATAAATTTGTATTCAAATGATCGGCGTGGCGCACATACCTTCTAAGGATTTAAAGTTAGACCCCGTTGTTTATATTACACAACAATATACCTTCTAGTAGTATTTAGGTCATATCGTTGGATTTGGTCCGCCAAAAATGACGTGATACGATTTAATAGGACGAATAATATTAAAGAGAAGAACCATCTTGCGCAATGAAGGGACTGAACGAACAAAATATATTGTGTCTGAGCACAATACAAATATAATATAGCGTTTATGATTGAGCAGTTAGCATCTAAATAAATGTTTTATAAAACACAATAATTTAATATCCTGTAGTACGACCTTGGAAGTAAAAACACTCGGGAATTTTAATCAGTGTTTTTGATTTAAAACAATCTGTAAAGTGAATTGCGCTATACAAAACAAAATTACAGCAAGAAACAAAATACATTTAATGTACTAAACTACTGTTAATGATTTTTTCTCACTGTATTTAAATCTTGACTTGGACGAGGTAGTGGTTTTTTAAAAGTTTTTGCGTTACTTACTGAATCGTTCTCTGTGTTTGTAAAACATATTAAGTTGAATTTTATCGCAAGAAAATGAAAATAACCTTATTTCAGTAACAATTGGAAAAAACTATGTTTTTTTTCATTTTAAGAAGACTATTTAAAAAAATTAAACGCACTGCAGTACATATAAATCTACATTTAGATTTGGCGCATTAAATTGATGTATTAAGTATTTGGTATGGTATTTTGATTGTTTTCACTTTAAAATAACTATAGCCTCACTCTATGTCGCTCCGACGTGGCATATACCTCTATTTATTTTATGTGCCCTCGACTATAGACTATAGTCTTTGTATACTGTAACCAAACTTTGATGGTTTGCATTATCTTTACTGACAAAGTTTTAGAGGTGTTTTTAGATGTATTCCCGGCGTGGCGAAAATTTTCCCCATTAATATTTTAATGTGCTTTATAAATATGTAATAATTTTTCCAGGAATACGCAAGCTCCACACCATTTAGCTTATGTTAACTCAGTTAATAATTTAACTTTGTAACTTGATTCAACATTTAGCTATAAAGTGCAAACATATTTTGGTATACTATTATTAAAAGGTATAATGTATGCCTATTAATAAATGTATATTTAATGCCCGGATACCGATTTAAATTTCATAATAAACAATAATGTTATCGATGTAAAATAGTGACAGCCTATAGGGATAAAAAATACAAAGATATTAAATATACAATTAAAAAATAATTGAAATTAATTTTAATCAAAATAATTTTATTACTTACAAAGTCTCAGTTGTAGCACTTCGGACTAGGAACTTTTTAATTAAGCCAAGTTGTCAAAGGTTTCATACAATTCAACCAAATTAAATTTTCTATTTTTCAAGAATGATGTATGATATCATCGCTAGGCATGACAGAGTACGCTCCGAAGTTATATCTTAATGCATCCCATAGTTCTGATAGATCTACCATAAACTTCATTAACATGTGCGCCAAAAGTTCAAATCGGATGAAAAAAATTACTCTAAGGTCACTTACAGTATAAACATGCTGTAATTTCTTTAATAATCTTTTATTTAATTCAATTTACACTTAAGCCAAATATTTACTCTATAATGTTACCTCTCACTTAAAGTACTTAAATTAATTTATCCAATGCTTTAACTAATGACCCAAAGACTAAAATTACTCACATTGCATTTATATTTACTACACGAAAAGTATAATACTTTTTGTGTGTTATTGGGTTGCTGTGAGATGTCACCGGGGTAAACCAGGTCAAAAGTCATTATTATTTTTCCATCTCGTTTTTCGAGAAAAATACTTACTGTTAGTACTCAACGATATTACGTTAAAATATACTTACTTTATCTGTGCTCGAAATTTGAATAATATTATTCTATATGAAAAATATGCAAAGAACTCTTTAAAAAAAATATAATTAACGCTTTTATAATTAAAAAATAGTTAAATACAAAAAGGACGAGTTCCACTTTTTGTTTCTTCTATACCGCGTGATGCTTCCGGAAAGTTTATCAAAAAAAAAAAAAAATGAATTTGAACGAATGACGTCAAAAGATTAATTTGTTTTTAAATATTTTTAAAATAGTGATTTATTCTTTATGTTTCAATGGACATTTTCTGCAAGTCCAATTATATTCGTGTCGAGTGTTTAGACTATGCTAACACTGACAGTCTAGCAACAAATGGCAACGTAAAATACAAGTAGAAATGTAATATAATAATTTTGTTATTGAACTGTAAACACTTTTACGGTTTTGTTTCGTTTTTCTATGTCGGATGGATTGTAAAAAAAAACATAATGCACCATTTTTGTTCAACCGCGGCGTAGCTGACAGTTTGCACATCGCGTGTGGCACAACATGACAGTAATACTGCTGACACGAGAACTTTCGGTTCTTTAGAATAAACAAATTTTGGAAAAGTAAATGCGCTCGCCAAAAACACCACACTGTTGTTCGTTATATTGATGCCTGTTACACTCGCATCCAGCAGCCTTTATTGGAACATTTTGCCAACGCTTTTCCGTTGAATATACATTTTGCAGTTGTATGTTAACATCGCTGTATAGGGTTGTTATTTTTTTTTTTTTTTTACAACGAACGCGCTATGCTTTTGGTGTGTATTACTAAAAGCGTTCCTATTTGATACGTTGACGGAATCCATACAGATAAATTGTCGTGCGCGCTGGCAGCAAAAACCGAGCTTAGAGTTTTAAAAAATCACAATATTGTAAATACATATATTTTCATCGTTTGCTTGTGATTAATTTTTTGTTTCGATTGCCACACAAACACCGGCAAACGCGTAACAAACGACATTTGGTTGTAGAAACGTAGTTCACGAGGACGTGATTTTTTTGAATAGTCGTTTAAAAAGAGTTACCGCAGAGTCCGGATTAGTCGGAGCCCTATATAGTGTATACTGTTTACTTGCTTAGCAGAAGTAATTCATTAAACCCGTATGGCGTATGCCCATCCCGTCTGTATCCCGTGTCTTCAAAACACCCTCAGAAATAATAATGTAGCTGTGCGACGGGGTCTCATCGAAAAAAAAAAATCCTGGCCGGCTTAAAGTTGTTACTGGTTCATTGTAACGTTGACGGGACAGCGTGGTGGTCTTACCGCAGCACAATATACGTTAATCAATCTTCATTATCGCTGTCCGCTAATTAATGTAATTTCCTCGTACCTCGAGTCTAACAACATGAGTAGTTGCTAGTGCGCATTATGCTGTCGGTGTTTTATTGGCCGCCCTAAAAATTTTACCGCGCCAAATCTGTTGATACCGAAGACGGTTAGGTCGGTGTTTAAATATAATAACTGTGAGTCTCAATCAATTTGTTTACGTCACGAGGCGGCGTACTTAAGACATTTTACGGGATCTGCGTTATTAGCATGGTCGTCATCGCCGACGGCTGAATGGTCGGATTTTATTTGCTCGTCATGTCGAGATGAACACCACCATCATCAACCGATATGCCGTAAAATCGTTGGGTCGTTGGAATTACTGTCGCCGAAAGAGATAATAGACCTTTGCGTAGCATTGTCTTGGTAATTTTACAGAAATATAAATTATTATATGCACCTATTGCAACCGTGAACTATTTTAACCAAGTATTTTAATAGGTACCGGGGTCAAAAAAATATAATAGAGCAACCTTGTTAAAAAAAAAAATGAACGCGACCATCGCAGGTAAACCAATGTATATTAAGGTAAATTTTAATAACATATTATAAAACTAATGTTTAAACTTTTTTAGTCATTCTATTTATTCTGATCCATTGTCCGGCAACTTAAAGTTGCAAATTGTCTTTCTGGATGTAGCTTTCAATTTTATAATCATATTGTTTAGCGCTGGAAACGAATGCATTCAAAGTATTTTGAAATTAACGAGAAAGCCCAAGTTCCAGAGACGATGGGTCTTATTAATGATACGTGAAAAAAATACATAGTCGGACAAACAAAAATTATGGTTAATATAGGGACACAAATGTTGGAATAACTCAATAAACAGTTGCTTTGATCAAACATTTAGTTGGTCGAACTAAATGTATAGTTGCTTTAACTATGCAATGTTGCAATGCTTTTCGTCTCCCAGCATAATTCGAGTTTACCAACATCTTCACGGTTTCTAAATTATTTGTGCTGTACACGTTATAGTTAAGTTTTAGACCGGGCGGCTACTTTATAATGTAATTTCTTTTTCTTTTTCTTCATCTGTGTTTATCGGCCGAACAACAACAATGTGATAATATAACCATGTTTGACCCCAGAGAAATCATTAGCGTGGGATACATTAGTGATAGCTTATTCTTTTTCATATTTTCGTCACCTCTTTGTATAAAATCACTGATTTTCTTTCAAACAGTGTTGTACTAAACTTGCCGATACTACTTTCGTACGTCTTGAACGTCAAGTAGCGATACGGATGCCATTTGTTCAGAATAAGACATTCGGAAAGGTTCGTATGAGATCCGTCCAAAAAGCTTATTTTGATTTTGCCGTCAACCGTTGGACCGATGATTTTTACACGCTTGTTTCATTCTATGTACATCTCAAGGGACGAAACCTTTTATTCCGCAGAACCCAAAGGCGTCCCCTTTTCTAGTTTCCCAATATCTTATTTCCAGAGTGCGAAATATCCGAGGTTCTCTTTCATGTATTATATCAATTGGGCTTCTTCTTCAACTGTATTCTTTACCGCTCTTGGCGAGCAAAAAAACAAATATATATTGATTCTAGTTTCAATTGATATAAAAATTGCAGGGTTTTCAAAAATTGCCGGGTCTCATTCTATCTCTAAAAGTGTATAGTAGTTTACTTCAGTCTGAATCCGAGTTGCACTTGGCTTTGTACCGTTTGCTTT